AGTAAACTGTTGGTTAGATTTAAAGAAAGTCCTCCATCATGCCTACTCTGATAAAAGAATGCATTTTCACTGCAAATTGAAATTACCCAACTGACATTACAATCGAACGAATCGAATTTTGTTTTTTTCCACCTTTTCTAATTAAACCAATTGCAAAATCCAACCCCTATTAAAAATGTAAATACTATAATCAATTACATAATGCACCAAACACATTAAGAGGAGAAAACAAATCAACTCCCAAAATCGCAAGGTTCAATGTTCGCTCCAAAACAGCAAGCTTTAAGTCCTCTTTCAGACGAGGCGGCTAGTTGATTCGACTAGTTGAATGGATGGGTCAAGGAGTGTAATCTGGTAACAAATTGTTTGGTAATCCCCTAACCCCTTCACACACAGTCAACTCATCCGCCCAGGCAGGCGGCCAGAAGGCACAAGTGCAGCTCACGTTCTCATCCTCACTGGTTGATCAGCACAAAAGACACTGCTCGGCATTCGTCCTTCACACCAATCGCCTAGTCGAGTCAACTGAGTTCACCAAGGAAAGCGTTGCAATTGCAAGTTTAAATGTGGAGCAGTTCATTGAAGAATTCGTATTAGTCCCACGATATGGGACATGAGGTGTGAGCAGTATTGCGACAAAATTAAAAGAAACAAAGCTTGAAGGGAAGTACCCCAACAGTATTTGGAGACAGAGAAACCCAACACTTTTCATTACTGGGTTTCTTCCTTTTTTGCTTCTCTTTATGCAGAAGAGCAAACACAAGAAGTGCTGCTGCTTTCTTGGGTTCTAACATCATACTGAACTGTTTGGAAGAGAGCTTGATTCCACAACTTGCTTGGTGGGAAACCAACAAAGAAGAGTCTTACATGGCAGTAAACTAACTGAGATTTAACCGGGCAGCTTAGTTCAATCAACCAAACCGGCTCGTCTGAAAAAGGCCTCAATGGATGTAACATACAGCCAACGCACCAAGTCGGTTCAAAGCAGAATATCAAACAAACCATCTTTTCAGAAATCAAATAACTTTTTCCCATGACAGAATACTAAATTTGGCCAGTATCCCTCTAACTGCTCAATATAAGTACATGTATCACTGGCCAAGAAATCTTGGAAACTGATCATTTAGGATACACAGGACACAATTTTTTACAGACAAACATCATTTTTTAGAGTCCCCTACAAATTTCCAGAATCACTTAATGAATCTTTCCGAAAAACCTTGCCTGCTGTACATGGAAAAGACTTGATTTAAAATATCCGATAGACACTGGCAGCACATCTTTTTTTTAACCCTAAAATCATAGAAAATTACTTTAACCAAAATATTCGTACTGAGCCATTCAAAATTTCTACCACACACACAACTTACATTACAATTACAGCACATATGTACCTTGTGCAGAACTTTTTCAAATTACGCGTTTGATTTTAAAATTTAGAATATTTATGTATTGTTAAAAATTTTAATGAAAATGAATAAAAAAATGGTGAGGAGTTGGAAGCAAAGATTTATTTAATTGGGAGATATGTAAGAAAATTGAAATCAAGGGCACATTGCATCAATTACAAATATTTTATTACCTGCTCTTAAACACGTTAGAAGAAATTGAAAATTCAGTTGTTTTTTGTAAAATTGGGACATTTCACCCTTTTATCATTAGTGTTCATGAATTGTTTTCCAAATTAAAGAAATTAGAGACTCATCATGTAAATAAAATGTGCCTAAATGTTCATATTACTAATATTGTTAATTATAAAAATATGTTGTAAAGTTGAGTGGATCAAATGGTCATTTCATGGAACTTCCAATTTGTTCTAAATGCCATTTTGAATATTTAACACGCTACTTGTCCCAAGTAAATACCAGAACACATTAGTAACAATTCCCACATCCTATAAAAATATTTTTGTTAACAAGGATTATCCTTTGGATTAGGATAAGCTAATCCCCAACCATAGGCTCGACAGAACGAGCTGAGACCTGAAAAGAAATGAGAGGACCTCTTATACAACGCTGTGACGTTATCAGTCTTTTTTTAAAATTGTAAATGGCAAGGAGATATGTGTGACACTGATCCACTTTACTTTTTTTTTAATACATTTACTTTAAAAGGTTATTCTTTTAATTTATTTGGTTCAGGTCCCAATTTTTCTTTTCTTTAATTAATTTGTTTGAGTTGTGGCACAGATATTTGTTCACTATGAGTGACACTTTACTTTTTCCTTTCAAATGTGCAAATAAAACAGTATATATTATTGAATGCTTTATAATTTCATTGTTTCTTTACAAATTTAAGGATTGTTTCATTAAGCATTATATTTTTTGTAAGGCAGTTAAAATTTCACTTTGTATTATATTCCTATTCTAAAATTTCCATTTATTGTTTCATATATAGCTTTAAGTAAATTCTAATTATAAAAATTGTACAAAACATGAACTTCAGAAGCTATTAGGCAGAACACAATAACCTCTCTATTAAATGCCATCACGCAAGAAGCTGAAAATGTTTGTGGAGAAGATAATAAAATAGTGTTTTGTTAGGCAATAAGGAATATTGCTCAACAAAAATTTCCTGCCCCTTCGGAGGGGAATATGCTCAAAGTTTCAGTTAAAGATACCAAAACCAGAATGCCTGAATTAAGAAAAAAATTACAACAGTTCAAGAGACATTTGGGAAGAGATCTGATACAGATGAGAAGAAACAGATAAAGAAACAATCACAGGGATATCACTCCGACAAATCTGATAGACACAGAAACTTGGACAGAATGGACGATGGGAAAACAAATATAAATCATTACACCGTGGAACATGTATATTTACAACAAATTCAAGGGAAATTAGAAAAAACATTTTCATTACTAGGCAAAGTTTAATCAGGATCTTACTAATTTCAAAACGCTACGTTGAAAGTATCTAAATGTAAAATTGACAGTAGCAAATTTGAAAATCACATTCAACAACCGCATAAAGGAGATGAAGACCATAGGCAGATAATAGCGCAGACCAAAACAAATGTCAGCAGTNCCAAAAGTGTAAATGCCAGCAATCTAATATAACATTGGAACAAATCATACAGACTGAACAAGCTACTATTATTATCAAAGAACAACAAACTCAGACAGAAGAGACAGTAGTGTGTAGCAGCAAACGGATGGTTCAAACTGACCATAGCATAATAACAATCAGTATAAAACTGTATAGACAGACCACACAGACAGATAATATAGCTTTGTTTAGCAGTGAACAAATCATTCAAACTATTGTTAGTACAAAACGACAAACAACACAGACAGAGGAAATAGCTCTTGTTAACAGTGAAAAAATAGTTCAAACTACTATTAGTTCCAAACAAGAAAGAACACAAACCGATAAAATAGCTTTGTTTACTAGTGAACACACAGTTCAAACAGAACGGACTGTAATTTTTTTAAAAAACAAAATTACACAGGCAGATGTAATCAAAGCTGTATCTGTCAATGAACACGCGGCTCAAACTAAATCTACAGTTTTTAACCACAAAGAAAAAACGATCCAGACAACCCAATTCTGTACGGGTTAGTGAAAAGCTCATCCCAACTGAGTACACACTAATTATCCCTAATTACAGTGTTAGCGAGAAAATGATGTACACAGATTTTGTAGCTATATGATGTACTTTTGTAGCAATGAGAGTTTGTAAACGATATGTACAAACGGACAGAATCATTCAGAGCACATGTGAAATAAGTATACAGACTGACAAAATCACTGTCTCTGAATGAACAAATCGTACAAACTGATCAAACCTCTATGATTTCAAAAGAGCAAATCTTGCAGACTGAGGAAGTTGTGATCTGTGAAATAAAAGAATTGAAACAAACTGAAGACGATGGGAATCAAAACTATGTTCAAGCACAGGAAAGTTCAATTACACAATGTACCCAAATCTGTCCGGATGATAAATTCATTTTTGGTCTAGAAGAGCAAATTAAAATTAAGACATTTGAGATAAAAAATGTGGATACAAATTTGAGAATTACAAAGAACTTTCCCATAGAAAACAAAAGAGCTGATAAGAAAATTTGCCAAAAAGACTTTGCAACATTGTCCGATGAGAACGATGATTGTGATATGTCTGACTGTTCTTTTCCGTTGCAGTGTAACATTGAATTAAGTAAAATAGATAATTGGAACACCAGTGTTACACAAGCAGAAAAACATCCTTACTGTCATGAAGAAAAAGAAGCAAAGCCCAATTACACAATTCAGAAGGTGGAAAAAATGCAGTTCCACAAGAACATAACATTGGAACAAATCATACAGACTGAACAAGCTATTATTATCAGAGAACAACAAACTCAGACAGAATACACAGTAGTGTGTAGCAGTGAACGGATGGTTCAGACTGATCATAGTGTAATAGCAATTAGTATAAAACAGCATTCACAGACAACACAGACGATAAAGTAGCTTTGTTTAATAGTGGACAAATGATTCAAACTACTATTAGTACAAAACAACAAACAACATAAACAGATAAAATAGCTTTGTTTACTAGTGTGAACACACAGTTCAAACTCAGAAAACTTGGAAAAAAAAGGAAGTATAATAGTGTAGAAAATGCATTCCTTTCTTGGATAAGCTCTACTAAAAAACTACTTGCAAGTACAGAAGAAGAACAAAATAATTTACTGTATAATTCCATTACATATGTGGATCAAGAATCTGCTATAGAGGGTGTAATCAACAATGCCACAAATGGAGAAAAGTGCTTGAAGTCTACAGAGGACTTAGATGAGGAAATAAAAGAAGCCGTCAGTAATATGGATACTGCTTTCTCTTCTTTAATGGACTTAATGAATTGCACTGCAAATACCGATGAAGATCCCGTTATGGAGTGTGTACCCAGTCACAAATAACAATACAAAACTTAAAACTTTACTTTTTGTAAAAGTAAAATTTTACTTGTGTTATATTCCTATTCTAAAATTTCCATTTATTGTTTCATATATAGCTTTAAGTAAATTCTAATTATAAAAATTGTACAAAACATGAACTTCAGAAGCTATTAGGCAGAACACAATAACCACTCTATTAAATGCCATCACGCAAGAAGCTGAAAATGTTTGTGGAGAAGATAATAAAATAGTGTTTTGTTAGGCAATAAGGAATATTGCTCAACAAAAATTTACTGCCCCTTCGGAGGGATTACAGACTTGGGAATCTCCCTCATGTAGCAAATCTATGTTGTCTTCCTCTCCGTATATTCATGAAAAAATTAAAGAGGGCATCGATGCAACTAACCTAACTTTGAAAGGAGTCCTCTAACAGCCAACAGAAATTTCAAAGATCATTCAGAAATATGAAACTTTACTGACACGAACTACCAAAACAGTAAAGAAACTGCCCATAAATTCAACCTTTTTAGCTACACCGGACATTCAGGATTACCCCAATTTCAGTGCTCTTCAAGATGACACTTCCACTAGCGAATTGAGTTCTGAGTTCTATCAGTTCAACACTTCATGCAAGAAGGACATCTTGTTGAAAGAATCTAGCTCCATCTGCACATTCACAGAACTGCTTTTGTTGAGGAGATTAATCAGTTTTGTATATACAGAAAAATTTCAGTTTTTTGAAGCATGATTCCACAGAAGCGAAAACTCTAACTGGGCTATACCTCATAAAAGCAAATAGTGTAAGCCTTGTTTTCAGGGGCAAACCATTCATCTATGATTCTACTTCTTTTCGAAAGCCTGTTCTACTACAGAATATCAACCTTACCCTTGCAGCAACTTCCAGCATTCAGAGTCATTCTCAAAAGACTTGATTTGAAAAATATTTCCATTAACACTGTAAATGTAATTCCCACAATTCCTACAATCTATTCTAACCCAAGTTGGTAGACTGTATTCCTGTGCATCGTAATTTTCAAATTAATGATAAATTGTGTAATAATTTTTTGCAAAAAGAAACAAGTATTTATTGTAAATAACTTATCCAGATACTCTGGAGATGTAAAAACTAATAATTGTATTAACCAATGTAACGTACTCTTGAATAATGTAATTGGTGGTATAAAATTGTAATAATTGTATTTGAGACATTAATGAATACTGCTGTTAATTGTAAATGATTTAAACCTTCATGGAAGTTCTAACTTGAGTAGCGATGAGTTGTCAAATTATTATCTTCAAATCGTGGTTAAATATATAAGTTACTCTTTCCCATGGATGTGCACATGTAGGCAATATTCTTAGAAACTATGTAAGCAGCATTAAACTACATTTTCCCCATCTTCTGATCAATGTTGACAAAGATGAAATGTAAAGAATTTTTTCATGATATTTTGTTTCATTGTGGTCTTTTTTTTACTGTTATAGTGACACATAGACCAACAATTGAAAATGGTGAAATGCAAAAACTTTTCTGACCCTGCAAACCTCAATGAGAAATCTCATTTTTCATAGTTTTGTCTTGTTCTGCCTATGTGTTGGTTTTGTCAATTATAAAAACAGGCCAACCAATAAAGATGGTGAAAGGTCAGAACACACCTGTTAAAATTAAGTTTGAACTAAGTTCCGAACTTGGCTTATTTCCAGCCTCAATTTGAAATAAATGAAGATGACAATTTGTCAGATGTGTTAGGACATTTTTCCATTTTTAATGGTTGGCCTGTACGTCATTTTGTCATGTTACCATCACCCATACATTTACATCAATATAATGTAAAGTTCAATTTTCAACTCTCATGTACAACTATAGATCAGTAAAGTACAATTTTAAATGTTTCAAAGTAAGTTTATTGTTGACAATTTAGAAAATGATGACTCTTCAATTTTCCTTACTTGTTATAACATTCCTTTCCGCATCGTTTTGTACTGAAACATTTTTTCTCAGCGAGCTTTCCACATTTCTCTGTTTGCTAATTGGTCTTCTAACATGTCGTGACATAATAACTGTTTTATCTTGAATTTTATTATAATAGTTTGGTCCGATATTATTCAGTGGACTTAATGTCTTTACTTTCACAGTATTTTGAAGCATTGACAAATTTCCTCGTGTTAATTCTTGTTTACCATCAACCTGCTGTGTAAAAATGTTATGTTCTCTTTTATCTACATTTGTGGCTCTAGGATTCAAATCTACAAATGTAGTATCAGACGCCTCGAACGATGTTATATCCTCAATTAATAAATCGCCCACGTATTGAGCCCCTTCTTGAGCTGAGGAACATCCTATTCGGGCGCCTACATTTGTTGATGTATTTGTTAATGGATGTGTTGTAAAGATATGTGAATGGTCATAGTGTTTCTTCTCACTAATGTCGCTACGGCAAGGCTTAACATGAATCAATTTAGTGTCAAAATCAGTGGAAGTAAAATTGTCAATTGTTATGTCATCAAGATGTTTCGATTCATTGTCTGTTGAAATTTTTATGGACTCATCCTGTTTTACCAACTTTTTCTTTCGTCGGGATTTTGTTTTAATGTTTGTTCCATTATCAAGCCAAGCTTGTATCACGTGTGTTTGACTTGCTGGCAGTGGAGTTGTCGACGTTTCAGATAATTCATTTCCTTTCGACTTAGTCGGTGAGCCAGATTTATGATTCGACGAAGATTCCGTCGTACAAGATTCTGAGGAATCACTGGCCGAATGTAAACGTGGAATGTTCAGAAGAGATGATTCTGTACCACTGTGTTCATCAGTGTCTGTCATTGGCGATTCATAATCCCCAGTATCTTCTAAACATTTGTATTCTTCAGATTTTGGGAATTTTCTCACCCAATCATTGTCCTCTTTCTTGTCCTGTGTATCTTCTGACTTTGATAAGGTCACTTCGAAGGGTGATTTTGGGAAGTAGTCCCACACGTTTATGGAATATTCTGTAGAAGGTGGCAAAGGACTAGATGATTTTCGAGTTTGTTTCTTTAAAGGCCCTTTTACGTTCTTATGCTCCGTATTTGAATTCTGGCTCGATGGCACTGAACATGCCCTATGATCTGAAAAACAAAACATAGCATTATGCAAAAAAAGTTATGAAAACATAATTGAGTGCAGAAAGTGATTTTATAATATCCTGCATAAAATATTAAACCAATTTCCTCTTTAACTTATAAACTACTTGATAAGATGGATGGGGATTTTGGCCACATGTCTTACAAATCAAGTGAAAGTTGAATTAGTATATTTTGCAATATAGCCAAGAAAAAAGTTGGCTGTCTAGGTGTGAACCTCATATCACAGGTTATCTAAGTGAAAGCAATAAAAAAAATGGTGATTTTTTCTAAATACACCAGAGATGGCTTTATGAATATAACAACAGGCAAGTTTGATGGCAATTTATGTACAAAACTGTCTTAACACTGAATATGGGTGGTGCAGATTAAATTTAATCCCAATAGAAATAACCACAGTAATACTTTTCTCTTTTTCGAAAACTTTAGTATTTTAGCAAATAAGAAAAAAAGTACTTCTTTATATTTTCACCCTTAACAAAATAACCAACTTTAGGATGTAATTACATCAATATAACTGTAATCTTTTTTCTTTTTTTTTCAAATAAGAATTTTAACTTCAGTTTTGAAAAATTTTAGCTCACCATCTCTCTTATGTTTTTGTCCATTCTTAATATGTGTGTTATCTCTTTTAACTCTATTCTGCCGAGACTGAGGTTTTTCAACTTGCATAGCATTTTGGTCACAGATCATTAATTGTGCAGTGGCTTTCTTCATTCTTGAATCACACCCATCATCTAAAGAAGATTCTGCCGTAGAAGTTTCTGAGGAGTCGCTACTTTCATTAGTACTATTCTTTGGTGTCTCATAATCCCCAGTATCTTCAAGACATTTGTATTCTTCAGATTTGGGTAATTTTCTCACCCAATCATTATCACCTTTTTTATCCTGTGTATCTTCTGAGTTTAATAAATTGTCCTTGTAATCTCCATTAAATGTCACTTTGAAGGGTGATCTCATGGAATAGTCCCACACATTTATCTTACATGTTTCCTCTGAATGTGGTGGCAAAGAGCTGGACGATTTTCTATTTTGTTTCTTTAAAGGTGCATTTCCATTCTTATGACACTCTAAACTAGACTTTGTTGTCAGGTGCTCTGTATTTGAATTCTGCCTGGTTATGTTTGATGGGGCTGATCTGCATTTTAATGGTTTTAAACGTGGCCTATGATCTATGTGTGGTGGTGGTGTAGTGACTATGTTACCATTTAATTTATTCCTAACTATCTTGGTGGGTGAGCCACTTTTATTGTCTAATGAAGATTTTGACATACGTGTTCCTGAAGAGGTGCCACTAGCCGATCTTTTATATGCAATATTCAAAATTGATTCTGCGTCACTACTTTCATTGGTACTATTCCTTGGTGACACATAATCCCCTGTATCTTCAAGACATTTGTATTCTTCAGATTTTGGAAATTTTTTTACCCAATCATTGTCAGCTTTCTTGTCCTGAGTGTCTTCTGAGTCTAATAAATTCTCCGAGTAATCTCCATTAAATGTCACTTTGAAGGGTGATCTTGTGCTATAATCCCACACGTTTATATTACATTTTGTTTCTTCTGGAGGTGGTAGAGAGCTAGATGATCTTCTAGTTCGTTTATTTAAAGGTTCTTTTAAATTCTTGGGACAATCTACAGCAGACTTCGCTGCCAAATGCTCAGGGTTCGATATCTGTTTGGTCCCGTTTGATGAGGCTGGCCTGCATTTTAATGGTTTATAATCTGAAACAAAATATAAAATTATACAAAAAAACGTAAGGTGTGAATTGACAACAAGTGATGTGAATGTATGTGAACATGCTGTAAAAAATATTATCAAACTTAGAATCTCAATTGTTAAACAAGTGTACAAGATGACATTATTGCTGGAGAGAAAAAAATCAATTTTTTGTTTTTGCATAGTTTTTTAAACTAAATTTATTCCTTAAATTATGATGCATGTAATGGACACACAGTTTTGAATTTTAAACTAGACTATCTACTTCATGATAGGTTTAATTTAAAGACAGTAATTAATTACAATATGGAATATGTAGCATCTTAACTTAAGTTATTAGCAGGCAAAAATGTCAAAAGTAAAAACAGCCTTATATTTTTTTAAATAGTAATGTAGTTCGAAAAGAAAAAAATTCCTTACATTTTATGCGTGTGTCCTTCATTACTGTCAAAGCTTGTACGCCATTAGACTTCAGCTCTTGTGTAACCCCATATTCGTCACATTTATTTCTCTCTGTTAGACTATGGTTCTGCTGAGTTGCTGCAGTATCTTTTTGGATGATAGAGGCCTCTTCAGAATGCATATGGTTGTTGTCCAAATTATCTGTTTTATTCTGTTCATCTGTAGGTTGCAATATATGATCTTGTGCCACTCCATGTATATCAGTTTGTTTCAGGGTATAGTTCTCCTGAGTTACTGTTGATTCTTGGTAGGTATCAGAAACCTGGTGTTCAGATTGCATAACACAGTTCTCCAGTTTATCTGGTTTATTCGATTCTTCAATAGATTGGGATGGAACTGAATAGCTATTTGTGTCGTTGCAATTTTTCTCATTAGATATTTTCATTTCTGAATTTTGTATTCCTTCCGGATCGTTCCTGTCAGTATTGCTAACCGAGATACTCATGGAATCTAACCTTAAATGTTCAACTGGAATCTCCTGCTTTTGCATATAATGAGTGAATTTATCTTCTGAATGAGTAGTTGAATTGTCACTAGCTTTTAAGTCCGTTTGTGTATCTGAGCCAGACTCAAAATTAACATTCTTGTGTTCTCTTTTCCACTTCCTATGTCTTAATTTTCTAGGTAATAATGGCCTATATTTTAAACCTAATATTACTGAACATGGCCTAGAATCTGAAATGGATTATTTGTTTAAGTGTCAATTATATATGAATGATAAATGTACATTACAATTTATTTGTTTACTAATATAATTAATGCTTAATAATAAATTAACGCAAATAATTAATAAGAAAAAATCATAATATTGTTGAAATCTGGAATATTATCGTAACAATATTTTGAAATATATAGTATTTGAAGTCATTTAAGACAGTTGGAAAATAATAAAAAATATATTTCTTACATTTATTTTGTCTGTTTTTAATTTCAGCATCAGGTTTTCCTATTGGCATTTCATCTGACTGGAAATTGTGTTCTTCATCTGCCAGTTTCAGAAATTGTGGAACATCTTTCTCATTAACTTGTTCTAAGATTACACCATCAACACAATTTTTCAAGTTAGGTGGCTGAGGTTGTGCTTGGCCTTTTTTCATGGAGTCTATCAACGAAAAGAAAGCGCATTGTATATTGCTGACCTCTTCGGTATTTTCCACTTCCAAGTCCAAGTCTTCCTCCGACGTGCTTCCATACGTATCGAAGTATTTTAAAAGGGATGGGTCATTTGCCTTCACGATTGTTCCTTTATTTATGTCAGTGCTAGTTATACATTCTATCACTGGATCTTCATCGGGATTTGGGACATAATCCATCGAGTCTATCAGCGATGTGAATGCAGTTTGTATATTATTGACTGCTTCTCTCGTGTCCAGATTGTCTGTTAGACTCTGTAAGTCCTCCATAGAACTAAGACCAGTAATGGAGGAGTTAAGTTCAGATGAGTCACTTGTATTCATGTTTCTCTCTGTATTTATATCACTTTTGAAAACACACTCTCTGTCAGGATCGTGATCAGCACTTGGAATGTAATTAACTAGTAAAGTTCTATTTTCTTCTTCTGTAACAGCAAGCGTCTGACTGTTATTCATAAGTAAGGAGATTAATGGAGAGGGTTCATTTGCAGTGAAGCTCTGTTCTACACTTGCAAAACTTTTGGTTACACACTCACTGGTTGAATTTTGATCAATATTCGGTTCACAACTATACAATAAGGCATTTTCTTCAGGTTCAGTTTCTGCAAGTTGTGATGGGCCTTTTTTCATTGATTCTATCAGAGAAAAGAAAGTGCATTGAATATTATTAACCTCTTCTGTTTTTTCAACTTCCAATTCCAAGTCCTCTGACGTGCTCCCGTACGTATCAAAGTATTTTAATAGAGACGGGTCATTTGCCTTCAGGAGCGTTCCTTCCTTATTATTTGTGACATTCTTGGGTACACACTCTATGACAGGATCTTCATCGGTATTTGCAGTACAATTCATTAAGTCCATCAAAGAAGAGAAAGCAGTATGCATATTACTGACTGCTTCTTTTATTTCCAAATCTAAGTCCTCTGTAGATTTCAAACACTTTTCTCCATTTGTGGCATTGTTGATTACATCCTCTATAGCAGGATATTGATCAGCATATGGAATGGAATTATACAGTAAATTATTTTGTTCTTCTTCTGTACCTGCAACTAGTGTATAGCCTTTGTTCGTAGAGCTTATCCAAGATAGGAATGCATTTTCTACATTATTGGCTTCTTCCTTTTTTTGAAAGTTTTCTGAAGGGCTGTGTTTAGTCTCTAAGCTCCCTGGAGGGGTCACATATGAGAGGTTTAATTGAGACAATTGACATGTTTCTAAGGTTGGATCTAGATTGGTAGTTGAAATGTAATTAGACGGTAAAATGTATTTTTCTGGTTCCGTAACTACATTGTGTGCTTGTCCTTTTTCCATGGAACATATTCTAGAAGAGAAAGCACTTTGTACATTATTGATTTCTTCTGCTATTACTACTTCTTCCTGTGGACTATGTTTAAGTTTACATTCTAAAGTTTGTGAAGTGCTGGCATTCATATTGAAGGAATGTAATCCAGATGAGTCATATGCTTTCGGGAACGTTTCTCTGTTTATGTCATTGCTGGTGCTACAATCTGTGGATGGGTCTGGATTGGTATTTGGAACATAATCCATCGAGTCTATCAGCGACGGGAATGCAGTTTGTATATTATTGACTGCTTCTCTTGTGTCCAGGTTGTCTGAT